CCAATCATCAGTCTCTTAGAGTTACTAAACTAAGTGGGTGGTTCGTTTTTTAAACCCAGCTACACTGAAAAGCTACCCAGAGGGGTAAACTAAAGGGAGTATATAGGAATACAAAGGAATCATGTCATGGAGTTGTAGTACAAGTATGAGAGGAGGAAAACCTTAGGAAAGAAGGATTTTCTACAGTGTTGTGAAAAGAAGGCAAAATCATCTTTTACTCCTTTGTGATGGAATAAAGTAAGATTTCTGTTTCTAAATGAAATCTTGCAGTGTCCTGTTTTCATCTCGAGAGATTTTGGCTGGTGAGGGCTGGGTATGGGGGTCTTTGGACTTGTTGGTTTAGACAGCACAAGAAAATTATCCTTGGGTTAACACTGGCCACATTCTCAGCTAATATGCAGGAAGACATAAGCCATTTTAGCAAGTGAATTGAGATATTCTTTAGTAAAGGAACAGATTTTTTTTAATATAGTGAAAATTTCCTGCTTGTGGGTGGGCCTGCCTGTCCAGTGAAAATTTAGGGCCTTTCAGAACATTTTATTCTGTGAGAATCTCAGAATAGCTTTTATAATATTTCCTTGGGTCCTATTACCTATAGGTAGTAAAATGTCTGAAATTGGCAAGGGAGGGAAGGGTATTTTGAACCTCACCTACATTCTCTTGCCCTAGGCAAGGCCAGGGTCTTACGGAATAATTCCTTAACGTTGTGGAAATTGAAAAATGGCCTCAGTTGACTTAAAGGGACACCATGGCAGCACATACTAGGTTTGTATGTTTCTTAGAGATGTGATTGAAATCTGAGCAGAACCTACTTAAAAACAACTTGTAAGGAAATGACCACTGGCAAAATGTGCGGCCAGTTACCATAGAGTAAAGGAAAGGCATTTATGTTTCAGCAATTAATACAAGCAACAAAATTGAGTCATGCAGCCATAATTCCTTTTTGCTTAGGAAATAATAGCCTTCATGTTTGGGAAAAAAATCTGTAGGTAAATTGGGTGGGATTATAGCTATTATAATTAAAGAGCACAATTGCTCCGGTTACTTTTCTATTTAAAAGGCTTTTTTTTATAGCTTGAAATACTCCATTTATCAATTTCCTTAAAATAATGGACTTTCTTGGAAGTCTTTCTGTGGCCTACCTGTGCCTTGTATGATTTAGATTAGCTGGGTAGATAAATTAGCAAATTCAGGTGTACCAGATTTGTCATTTCAAAATTTACCTGTTTTCATAGGTAGATTTCTTAGGAACCAAGAATGATTTAGGACTTCAGAAGTATGGAAATGCCAGGTTTTGGTGGTTTAGTAAAAACAGCTCCAAAGGTTTTTATGGCATCAGTTTTAGTCAACTACAATCAGAAGTAAGTTTGTAGAGCAGTCATTTGCATAGAAAGAATTGTATAGCTGAAAGTTACGCTCTGAAACTAGACTGTTCTGTATTAGGTACTAGTAGTGTGACTTTGGTTAATTTACTTGTATTTCAGTTTCCTTTTATATATAGTGGAGGTAACACGTACCTTGAACCAGTCATGGTGAGAACTGAGTTGTGTATCTTAAAAACGGCATGTACTAAGTATATGGCTCTCTATCCACAGCTTCCCCAAAAATGTTTCATAGTTGCTGACATGTCCAAGGGACTTGAGCATCTGAGAATTTTGGTCTCTGAGCAGGGGTGGTCCTGGAACCAATCCACTAAGGATACCAGGGGATGAATGCACTGTGTTATAATATTGAATGGGAATTTGGCAAAATTTGGCTTGTTTATATAAACTTTGTATTTCAAAGATCCGTTGCTTCAGTCATTACCTTAACACCCCCAGCCCTCACCCTCGTCTTGCTTTGCCTTTTCTACCAACTGAGGAGTACTAAGGGTCAGCGAAGGTGTCGGGTGGAGGATGGAAGAGACATGGGCCTTAAAGAAGGCTGTTGGTCGTGTCTGTCTAGGCCCATTGCAGGTCTTTGGGGAAAATATTGGTTATATTTTATTGACTATCCAGTTATAAGAGGAAGGAGTATTTGTAATGAAAAGTGCAGAAATGTAAGATTGCATAGTATGTTTTTCGTAAATTCTAAGATCCATCCCTATTTCAGGCATTTTAAGGGGGCAGAGGGCTTGTGCACCGTAGAAATCTGGCATATTACAGTTTAATTAGCATTTTTTTCTGTTCAGAACATAATGTAATAGGGGTGTTCTAAAATTAGTAATCTTAGATTCCATGAAATTCAGTGTTTTCTTATATAGATGATTTATATAAAGGGCATTTAGTTCCCGTCTCCCCGTTTTAAACAATGCTGTGATAAATGTTACTCAATTTGTTATTTATAGTGTTCCTTTAGTCTACATTGTTAGGAGTGGATTTTTATATTCAAATTTTTAAAAATATTGCCCAACTGCCTCCAGAAAGGAGCCAGCTAGCATACCTGGTTGCAAATACCAGTTTCTCTGGTTAATACTGGCTAATTTTTTCTTTAAATTTGCTAATTTGGTAAATGAAAAGCGGTGTCTTTCATTCTTTTGATTACAGGTTATTTTCTTCATGCTTGTTAAACATTTAATATTTTAGGTTTCTCAGTTCATTTTTCTTCAAAATGTTGGCTTTTTCCATATTGATCTGTAAGAATGCCTTGTTACTTTTGGCATATGTCACAAATATTTTTATATAACTTGGTGTGTGTGAGTTTTGCAAATTTTTAATTGGAAATTTATTTCAGTATAGGCTGGTGTTTCTTTTAGTTGTCAGTTAGCCAGTAGATTGAATTATTTACCTTTTTTAGGGGGAAGAAGAGACCTCTCTGATCTCTTATTCTAGAGAGTAGTTTACTTGAGGATTCACCTGTCAGCCTTTTATAAGATTGGGTAATGTGAACATCCATGACTCCTGCAGATTAGGGAGAAAAAAACAAGGCTCCTTTGGAGGGCTTGAGCAGTGATACTGGGACACACGACAGCTGCTTCATGTGAAAGAAAAAGAGCTTCAGAAAAACTAAGAATCAAACATGGATTGCCTAGAATAGATTGCCTAGCTTGGCATCTCTTTCACTGGCCTCACGGCATTGCCAAGTTGCAGCTGTAGGCTATTAATGGAAACTGAAAAATTGGGACAGGTTGGAGGGGGGAAAGGCAGTAAAAGAACTAGATAGCACTAGTGTGACTTTCCTATTGTCTGTAAGGAAGACAGAACCCAGGAAATAAATGTCTGGCTCCTAGGAAAGGGCCCTTTCAAGGAACAGGTCAAAGAAAGGATTTCTACACAGGGATTAATGATGGAGATTCCCATGTATCTAGTACGTGTGAACTTGGACTTTATAATATTTAGGTCCCAGAGAATTAAGAAATTTAATGTGTTTGAATAGAGCAGAGATTTCTAGGTTGGCTTTGGGATGTATATCAGGAGTGAGGATTTAAATCATTGCTGATTTTCTTGAACAAAAGTCTGAATATTAGTGAGCTCCACCTAGTCCTGGTAAACTAGGCATCCTGATTTGTAATTTTGCATGTGGGCAGGAAGGGGGTGTGTGAAAATTACTTAGGGCAAGGACAGAACAGGATTACCCATCCTCTCATTCATGGAAAGAGGACATTTTTTCTGGCAGAGTGAGCAGCCAAAGTCTTGCTCAGATATGTTTTTAAAATAAACATGGCTGCATGTGTTACAGCAGTGCTGCCAGTAAACAGTGGGGTAGAAGGGGTTGGGAATGAAAAACATGCAAACTCAATTGTCCCAATAAGGAGGAAGTATGTACAGCTGGATTGGCTGCTGAAATAGAACAAGATGAAAGCGGTGGCTGGTCACATCTACTTTTTATTGATGGCCTACCATGTACCCAGGTGTGGTGTTGGAGGAAGAGTGCATAGTTCCCACCTGCAGGCTATTTACAGTCCAGCAGTAGGTGGTATGGGTGTCATGCTTGGGGAGTACTGAGGAGCCACTGTATTTTTAGAAGGACCCTTTAGGAGTCAGGGAAGTCTCCCTTTTTAAAATTAAAAACAAAAAAACGTTCTTAGGAAAACAAATGAGGACTGCAGTATCCCCTAGGGTTTTAAGGGAACGGAAAGGATGGGGAGTGGGGAGTAAAAGGAAGATGGTGCTAGCTGGTCTTCAGGGCCAAGTAGGGAAGGGAAGAGTAAGATGGAAAGGGAATCGAAAGAAAACCAAGGATAGGAAAAACTGAGTACTGCAAGAAAGAAAAGTTGGTTTCTGTTAGGAGGTGATAGGTTGGTCTGCTTCTAAGAAGGTGGCCTTGTCTCCACCATTGCAAACACACGAGGCACCACATCCTGAGTGCAGACAAGCAGCTGCCTGTAATGCAAGGAACTCTAATGCACAGCAGCTAAATAGAGTAGAATAGAGAAGTAGGTCAAGAAAAGCCTGGGAGAACTAAGTATGTTAAGTCTGGAGTGGCAGAAAGCATGGATGAAGAGTTAAACATGAACAACAAGCAGGGCAATGTTCGGTACTTCAATTTCTGGAGCTCTGAGGGACACGTGCTTCAGTTCCAGTTTGGGTGGGATGAGGGTTGGAGGTAGGCGCCATGCTTGACAGGGATTTAAGAAAAAAATTCTTGGACCTTTCATCCTGTTCTGAGAAGGTACTATTAGCAATTAGACCACCAGCTTTGCAGAAGTGATGGGATAGAAGCAATGATTGGGGGGTGGGGGGAGGTTTGACAAGCCAGGGCCACAGCTCTAAAGAAATATGTATCATGTTCCATTTTTGTGCTGGGGAAAATAATTATCTTCTAGGCTCAACGAGAGCTGCCTGAGGACCACTGCAGAGTTTTCCCCAGGAAGGAAAGCAGAAGGATGACCTGACGAGTGTGGCAGTTTGGGTCTTAGACCCTGAGATAGCCTTGAAGGCAGCACCTGCTGCATCACAAAGAGAAAACAAGGGGCCAGCGAGCCTGTCGCCCACTCCTTTCGAAGACATCTAATTTCAGAGGGGAGGCTGCTTAAGGTCCTAAGGTGGGTTTACAGTAGCTTCCCACAGGCCGCTCTTGAGTTACTGAAAGGTGAATGCAAAACAAACTAGCAAAAGTAGGGGGGAAAATGCATTCTTAGGCTTCCACAAATACATAAGGACAGTCAGGACAATCTTGGAAGTACTTTTATATTGGTGTTCACCAGGGTCTTTTATGCCATGTAAAAAACTAGGCTGATCTGTTCTGAAGGTTCCCCTGTATTTCTTACTAATGTATTCATCACCTGTAGCTGTGTTTAATACTGTAGCCCCTAGCTCATGTATGACTTAATTACATTCAAAATTCAGTTCATACTAGACAATTCCAAAGTGTCAGCAGCCAATATTGTGCAGTGCAGACAGGCCTGTCGGACAGTGCTGATCTAGACGTAAGACCTGGCATGTAGTAGCCGCTTTATAAACAGTTGTTGCATGAGTGGTCCTCAGGACTGTATGCCACTGCTAGTAAGAGCTTTGGTTTCCACTTTCCCCTTTCTAGCCAGCATAGCCAAGAAAGGTGCAGGAGCTTAGACTGGAGTCTGCTGATCCATGCAGTGAGGATGTAATCTTAAGCCACAGGAGAAGGCAAGCTGAGGGGTCTGAGTTGCAGCCAACTCTCAGTTCCTGAGATTCACCTGAGCTGGCTTGATTGCTCTCTAGCTGCAGCCAGACCTAATGATAGCACCCAGAGGTGATGACAAGGAGCAGAGGGTTGGGTATACTGTAACACTGTGCTGGTTGGGAACACTTGGACTTTCTAAGTTCCAAGCTTCGCTCAAAGCATGAGAGAGCCACACCCCATCTTTAACCGATCCAAAGTCAGCTTCTTACCACAGGAGAAGGTGAGCGGGTGAAGGGAACTTGAGGGGAAAACAGAAAGAGAGATGTGCTGAGGCTCCAGTTCTTCCAGGGGCTCAGTTACAGGAGCCTCGTGTGAAGGGAGATAGTCTGTGTTGGAGGGTAAGTAGCCCTCATGAGTGGGAAGATAGTCCATTGGGAGGACTGTCAGGCTTGCTGGGTTTCCTGGCTTTGAGTCAGGTCCCCTGCTCCCCAGCACCTTGTACAGATCCACAAGCTGTCCTGTCTCTGCTGTGAGAGCTCTGGGAGGTGGTGAGCTTGAGGCACTGGACCCTGTGTCTTCCTCAGAGGTATAGTGACCTTGGACTCCTTTTCCCTTTTCTGGCCAGTTGGAACGAAGGAGCTGTGTGAAGACGGGGGTCACTTGATGAAGGACTTCGCTGATGACCAGGGGCTCGGGTTCTTTCGGAGTGGGCCAGTATGTCAGGAGCCTGTCCAAGGGCAGCTGGATCTTCTCCTGAGAAAGGGGAGGAAGAAGCTCATGGCTATGTTAAGTAAGTAGCCTTGACAACCAACTTCCCCAGGGTTCCTAAAGGCCTCACAGCCTGTACTACCTAGTCAGCTCAAGGTGGACTCCGGGCCCTTGACTTTGTGAGGTAAGAGAAGATGTTAACATTGTCAGGGAGGCGGGAGTCACAGACTCCCCTCCACCCCCAGCTAGTGAGTGAGTCAGTCCTGCTCAACCTTCAACCAGACTGTTTCTGGTGAGTCAAACTACACTAGCTGCTTTTCCTCTAGGACGGCACACTGTGCGCAGAAGAAAGGCTGAGCTTACCTCTGTGGGGGAGGAGACGGGGAAGTCTATAAAAGGGTCATACTAGAGCTGAATCCTGCAAAGTACAGTATTTTTCAGAGAGAGGTTGTGGGCAAGAGGACTGGTCTATTCTAGGACCTGCTGGTTCTTATAACAGGCAAACTGAGGCTTCCAAAATAGGTCACATGATGAAGGGACTTTTAAGGGATGCTAAGGAGTTTGGGTTTTGACACAACTACTGACAGGTTTTAGGGTAATATTTTCATCAGTTCTGCTCTAAAGAACCACCTCTATAGAATAACTTTTTTGGAAGAAATTATCCTTTTTTCTCTGTAATTTTCTCTTGCTTACTTTCTCAACAGCACATTGGTTACCAACTCATCAATGTCATATATCTCAAACTTGCTGCTGATCCCTGAGTCCAAGTGCTTTGTAACATTTCTTTTAATGGGCTTTATTGGGCTCTCCTCACATCCTGGAAACTGCCTTTCACACTGACCTTACTAAAGCAAAGCTCTGGAGCCTTTAAGAACTCGGACTTAAATATGCAGTAAAGCTTCACCTTGTCAATCAAGTTCCTGCACCTTCCTCTACTTCCCCATTATTTATGTTCAGAAATTATTTCAGGCATACCATCCTGGTCTAACTAAACACAATTTTTTTCCTCTGTGCCACCACCACACTTTTGTTTCCACTGCCAGCACCCACCAACTTCTGTTTGCTGCACCATCCCCTGCTTGACACCTTCCTCTTTCTTGAAGCCCCGTTGACTGTTCCCTCCTGAACTACAGCAGCGAAGCAGCCTCCCGTTAGGTTCTTGGCACATGGTGCCGTATAATGTCACTTTTAAAAAACATGTCCGAGCAGGAACCATGTCTTAAGGGAGATATAGGATGACAAATAATAGCCTTGGGACAGAGCAAACCCTCAAGAGTATCCCCAACTCCTGATACCTTACAGCTTGGGAAAACCACCTCTCTGGCGTTTCATTCCCTCATCTGTCAAATGTCAAGAGTGATTTGGTCTGGATTGGCTCTGATGTCCCTGGCCTTGCCTTGAGCATGAAAAGTTTCCAAAAAGTGAATGATGATGCTGTCTCAGGACAGACTTCAGCAAAGGGCCCACAAGCTAGAAGGGTATGTGTGTGTTTCTCTTTTCGGAGGCTATTTTCTGGATTGCTGCCCACACTGGTGCTGGCATGTGGGTGGGGCTTGGGACATGGCTGCGGCTCTGGGAAGCAGAGCTGCCAGTGCTGCTTTCAACAGATGGGAGAGATTACACAGGGTGTGGAAATGGCTCATTATCACCAGGTGAGGTGTTCACACTGCCGTCTTGAAAGCCTTGGCAGTATTGACAGAGCTGGTCCTTTTATAAAGCAGGCCCCCTGGTGGACAAGTCCTGGGGCAAGGCCTCTCAGACCACTATTAGCTCAGACACTTCATGGACACTATTTTAAGCTTTTACAAGCTCAAAATGGATTAACATTCCAGTGATCCCCTTTATGATTTGGCTTTTTCCTCCAGAGCTTTAAGACAGGTGGTTTTTTAAGCCACATCTTAAGACCTGGTAGGGGCATATAAGGCCTGGGAACAGAAAACATTTTGTTGGAGTTGAAAGATAGACTATTGTACTTCTTAATATCTGCCAAATCTGTCAGATGTCAGGAGTGATTTGGTCTGGATTTGGTTGATCACGAGAGCAGTTCAGGTCTCTAAAACCAGTGTTGACTCACTTCAATGGTCAAGCGACATGGGGTTCTGAGGCTGCCTCAAGACCTTCATTGCAGATATCATGTAGAAGCTAAATTTTTTAAATTTTCTAACTTATGGTTATTTTTGCAAAAGAAATATACACACGTAGTTTTGTAAGAAATTTTAAAAGTTCAAAGGAAATTTATAATGAAAATCAAGTGGCCCTCATATCTCCAACCCCTTCCCCAACTGATGATCAGTTTTACACATAGGCTTCCAGAAATGTCCTATGCGCATGTGGAGGGGTGTGTGTGTGTATAAAATCTCCCTCCTTTTTATACACATAAGAACACACTTTAGAAACTTACAAACTTTGCTTTTTTCACTTTTAAATATCTTAGAGATTTTTAGACACATACATAATCTTTTTTAAAAAAAATAGTTGCATAGCCCAGCAGGGCATGGCTCAGCGGCTGAGCGTCGACCTGGGATCCAGGAGATCGGGGTTCGAGTCCTGGTCAGGGCACATGCCCGGGTTGCGGGCTGCAGCCGATCAATGGTTCTCTCATCATTGATGTTTCTATCTCTCTCCCTCTCCCTTCCTCTCTCTGAAATCAATAAAGATATATTTAAAAAAAAAAAAAAAGTTGCATAATATCCTGTTGTATGGATATACTCAGAATGTTCAGCCTGCCCTCCTGGTGGCAGATGATATTATACCCAATTTTTGGCTTCTATTTTTAGGGCTCTAATGAACATATTTATACCATGGGCATGTGCGTGGCAGTTTTCTGTTACCTTTTCCATGTGCTACTTTCTCTAACCCTTTGTGTGTCTTTCCTAGCATTTCTTCTAGGCTTTTTATGGACCCTTGTCATGCCCACGACGCCAATGCTACCAGCTCAGAAGCCAGGTGTCCGTGACTGACCCAGAGCTGCCTCCTGCTGTGCTATTTCAGGCATTTAGGACATGGAACTGTGGAATCTCAGCATTGGAAGAGAGAGATCTTAAAGCCCAGCTGGTTCAACTCCTAGTCCTTGAATCCCTTCTAACACCAGAAGGCATCCTTCCAGGGTGCATTCCCACAGATCATCACAGTATTGCCACTAATTGAGGGCCCTCTTAGTTAGTCTATTCAGCTCAGAGGCGTTGACTTCTAGAAAGACTCCCCTCGTACCCTGTGCTTAAAGATCTTTTTAGAAGGAAAAGTATAATGGTGGATAGCACATCCTACTTTTATGTGAATTCAGGATCCACATTTACTCTCTAACATTGGGCCAAGTTACTTAGTCCTCTGTGCCTCAGCTTCCTCATCTGAAAAGTAGGGATAATAATACACCTTCATTAAACTATTATATGGATTAGATGTTAATGCTTTAAAATGTTTTTTTAAAGTGCCTGGCATATATAAAATAATATATATGTGTATATAAACAAACATATTAGTATGTACCATATTATATATAAGTATATATCATGTAGATGATATATAATATATGCAAAATATAAATATATAATTTAAAAATATACATAAACTGCTATTATCACTGTTCTTGCTATTATAACTTAACAGTGATAAAACCCCTCAATAGACAGTGGAGACATCAAGTATGAGTCTTCCTGGGAGGGGAGTGAATGGCCTTTGCCTTGTATGAGCGATGTGCTTTACATGGCATCTTTCTTAATCCTCACAACAGGGTACATGGGAGATACTGTCACTTCCTCCTATACAGACGGTAAAACAAGGGCTCAGATGTCAGCCACATTCCCCAAGGCTCATCCACATAGTAAGCGGCAGAGGTAGGGTTTACTTCCAGGCCTTATCTCAAAGGCCTTCAATTGCAGTGACTGAAATCCTACCGAGACCAGCTCTCTCCCTGAGCAGCAGCTGGTACCCCTGGCTTCCGGCCTGAGGAAGGGTGTGGATGGTAGAATGCACGGGGCAGTTGAAGAGAAGAATCTTGGAGGGAAAGGGCTATGAGGTGTGAGAGAGGGAGTGTGGGCTGCCAGTGATCCGGGCGTGGGAAGAGTCCAGGCGTACCGCTTTCCTCCCCTTTGCCTTCCATACACACACAGTCTTGCTCCATACTCAGATGCCTTCAACTGCCAGACCTTTCTCCAGAGATGGACCATCTTGCCCACTGTGAACTGCTCTCACCTCCTTAGACTGCGCAGCAGGGGCTCCCTTTGCTTCCTTTTCTGTAGCGTGCTCATCTGCCTGCTGAGCAACCTCTCCTCTAAAACCTTGCCATACACAACGGGGTGACCTACTGGCTTCCTGCCAAAACCAAAAGAATCTGGGGTCTATATCTGCTCTATTCTCAGGCAGGCTAGTATCATGGTAAAGCTTCAATTCTCGGATTTGAATGAGTTAATCTTCAGGCTATTGCTCAGCAAATGGCAAAAATACCTGCTTTTAAAGTAAGTTGAGGTGAGGAACATAAGGTATAGAGAGGAATGGAAAGCTGTGAGTCTGAACCTTTTGGTCATAAGCTTCAGAAAACTCCCATGCATGGGAGTAATGACTCAGATGATAACCTAGTGTGAATGCGCAGTTCATTCATGGGCTCTTAAGTACCCAGGTTTCCTCCTAACTAAATGGGAAACGTGCTGATGTCTGGAATCCCATCGACTGACTGCTGACGTTATACCTTACCTCCACAGTGGGATAGTTCTTGGCCCAAGTGCTGTTCGCTGGGTCCGGAATTTCTCTGCTACACCACTGAGGTCTGAGGGCTGAAAGGAGAACAAATACCCTGTAGATAAAGAAAACAGGCATCTGGTTAAGTGTGTACACGGTGGCACAGAAGCACAGGTTCTTGGCAGTGATTTCAGTGCAGGGGTATACAAAAGAAAAATGTAAACACTGAAGGAGAAAAATGATGCATCATCCAAGGACGGACTGTTTTCTGTGAAGTTTGGATAGGTGATAAAGAGTCAGGATGCAGCCCGGCCGGCATGGCTCAGCAGTCGAGCATTGACCTATGATCCAGGAGATCACGGTTTGATTCCCCGTCAGGGGCCTTGAGTTGCGGGCTCAATCCCTAGTGGGGGGCGTGCAGGAGGCAGTCAATTAATGACTCATCATTGATGTTTCTATCTCTCCCTCTCCCTTCCTCTCTCTGAAATCAATAAAAATATGTTTAAAAAAGAAAAAAAACAGAGTCAGGATGCAATCTCTTGGGGTTTGCCAAACAAACTATAGACCTTTTGCCTAGCGTAACGTTTAGCTGTTACTATCCAGCCATGCGCTTATTCAACAAACATTCCCTAATGTATGGCCAGCACAGTGCTGGGATAGAAGAGCAAACAAGAAGACATGGTCCCGACCCTTGGGAGCTTACTATTCACTTAATTACAATGTTTATAAAGAGTTTATAATGACAGGTTATTATGCTAAAAGTAAAAAAATATATATATATACGGATGATATAAATAGCTTGAACATAGATCATGCAAAAAAATGCCAAGAAAAAATACTATAGAGAAACATTCAGACTGTTAACAGTACTTGTGTTTGGTGATCAGAGGAAATATGGGTCTTTTTTTCCTACATCTCTAGGTTTTTAAAAATATTTTTAAATGAGTTTATATTACTTTTATGATGTGGAAGGAAAAAAAATCCTAAAAATGTTTCTTACAAATGAATGTGGCTTAAATATTTTTACTATATTTGAAAAATTCAAGACCAATGTGAAACATCTTTAAAACCTTGGCTTTAATAAGCTTTGATGTTCAGTTAGAATGGTAAGCTTCCTAGGATGTGTTTAGCTCTCTGAAACAAGAGATGTGACCATGTGACTAGTTTTTCTCCAAAGAAATGTGAGCAGAGGTACCTGTGACCTAGTATATAGATCATGCAGATGAGGAACAGTGCCCAAAGGAAGGTGGGCCAATAAAATGGAATAAACCTGGGTCCCTAAAGGACTGTGTGGACCACAGTCTACCAACCTGGATAACTTACCTTTTATATGGGTGAGAAATAAACTTTTATTAAAGCCACTATATTTGGGGTCCTCTTTTTTTCTTTTTCTTTTTTTATTTATCTTAACAGCAGAAGCTTTGACCCTAACTGATAAACTATTTCCCAGAAGAGGATGCATGTGATCCTAGTTAACTCTTTTTTAGTTTAACTTTTTTCAAAATCTACCTAAAGAGAGCTCTGCTTTGAAGTACCTATCACACATGGGGCTTCAATAAATATAAGCCTTTGAGACAAGTTCAATGGCTAGTAGAATGACTTTGAGCTAGTTTTATTTTTACCTCGTCTCATACTTTATACAACATCTGAAGGAAACTTTGTAGTGAATAAGTACCTCATTAAAGAATTCTCTCTTAATAATACATGTTTAAACAAATTTTAGAAAAAATAGAGGAGCTAAAATCACCTGTGACTTGATTCCCTGATAATGGTGTATTAATATACACAATATGTTGGTGTATATTCTTGGGGCAGAATGTTAATTGCTGCCCAATACCTGTTTTTTTCCTCAGGAAGAGCACCCTAATTTATTGGGACAACTATGAACCTAGCTATAAGGCCACAATTTTAAACCTCCATGTCTCACCAAGTTCTAACCAAAAAAATTGAACCAAAAGTATCCTGTGTGACTTCATGTCAAGTCTGAAAAGGGAAGTGTGGGCACCTTCTTTCCCTGTAGTAGCAGAATGCAGGCACCATGGCTCCAATTCCTGCAGCCATTGGACCATGAGGCAAAACTGATGGAAGCCAATGTCAGGATAATGGAGTAGAAAGATAGAAGGAACCTAAGCCCCTGATGACTATGGCACTATACACCAGCCCTTTGCCTGAGTTTACTTCCCTTTTCTGGGTGAGGAACTGTTACATAGGTTTTTGAATTTTTTATCTTACAACCAAATTTAATGATAATTGATAATATCTTGTGTGCGCGTGTGTGTATGTACTCTTTCGTTTAAAAATGAAAGTACATATTTTGCTGCTTTTTAAAATACAGCAAATATTCATGATTTAATTTTCTTCTACATCTTTAATGGATGTATAATATTGCTATATAGCATGAGATAAATCATGATTTAGTTAATCCCATATCATTGCGCATTTATACTGTTTCAAATTATTTTCCTTTTATGAACAGTACTTGAATGAACATATTTGCCACCAAATATCTGCATACCCTTATGATATACTTAGAATAAATTTCTAGTTAGGAATTGCTAGATCAACGGTACAAAATTTTTAAAAATTAACATACTGTCACTCCAAAAAGTTGAATAAATTTAGTATGCCCCCAGAAATGAGAGTGTCCATCTCTTGGACTTATAGCAGCAGCAGCAATTATCATTATAAAACAAAACAAAACACATTTACCAAAATTGGCAGGTGTACCCAACTCACTTTTGCCGGAAGTAGCGCACTGAGAAAACGCCCACCACGATGATAGCAGTGCAAATGCTCGGTACCACAAATGTGCTCCAACTGGCTTTACCTGGAAGGACAGCAACCCTGTGACTGAGTCCTCAATCAACATTTCAAAGTAATGTTGTTACGTGAGCCCCTGGGCTCTGCCCAGCACCTGGGTCGCTGGGCTCAGGAACAAGCGAACTCATTTTTATCCATTTAAGGAGAAGGGGCCCTCAGGGAGCCAGTTCTATAGTTCTGGGAGGAGGTCCAGCCCCACAAGGGCTCCTTCCTTCAGCGGGTGAAGGAAAAGGGGTGCGATACAAAGCACTGGTTGCGAACTGGGAGCCCTGATTCTAGTACTGAGTCTTCCACTGACTGATGCATGATCTGTGGACCTCCAATTCTTGATTCATAAAAGGTTATATCTACCTGCAGGTTGCTGTGAAGATTAGAAATAGTATACTTAAAGCGCATAGCAGGCCCTCAAGAAATAGTAGCTAGTAATTTTACCAAACCACTGAATAAATCCTCTATCTAACTAGAGTCTTTGGAACTCTTTTGATTTCTTCCTATGAACATGTATTTTGCCATGTACCAGAATTACTGATTAATTCACCCAGCGTTCATTATTAACCGTGTACCAGGCCCCATTAGGTGCTGACATACAAAGGTGAATAGGAACATGGGCTCTGCTGTCTTCAGAAGTCATGAATGTAGCCCAGGAGAGAGAGATGTGAACATGTAAACAACTGTAAAAACAGGCAGGTACAAAGCTGTGTAGCAGAGAACAGCATGAGCATGGCCTCACTCACAGCTCAGCCAGTTTCCCAAAAGGCATGTCAAGGCAGAGTTGGATGGGTGGGAGTTGGCTAAGTGGACAAGTTAGGGAAATGCCACCTGGACAGAGAGCTATGCAAAGGCTTGGGAGGAGGAAAGAGCACAGCACTTTCGGGGGACTAAGCAGTCGGTCTTGCTTTTGATTGTAAGTGATGGGGGTGAGGCAGAGGAGGAAGCTGGATGGGTGAGCAGGACCAGGTCCCACTGGGCCTGGTAAGGAGCGGTTTGAATTCTAGCTTGAAGTCCTAGGGGAACACTGATGGGGCTGCAACAAGAGGTGGAATGTCAGCACTGGGCCTCTCGCAGAGTCTTCTGCTTGAAGGACAGGCCGGGAGGGAGGGCGAGCAGGGGACTAGAGGCCAGAGACCTGGTAGGCCCAGTGAGCGGGGTGTTACCAGGGCCGAATGGGGAGTTAACGCAGGCGGCCTTGTTACAGCCCCGTATAATCAGCTCAGTCTGACATGTCTTCAGCATCTGTCTTCCTTCCTGGCAGATGGGACAGTCTGGAGTACCACGGGCAGAAAGATGCTGAGTTCTTAATCTAATTAATTGCTCACAAGTTACCTTTTATGGGAGGAGCTGGGAGATGAAAAGAGGGCTTTTCAGTTTTCCTAGTGGAGAAGTACCTGGCATAGAACAACAAAGTACTGAATGATCAACTCATACTCCATGTCACAAACAAGAACAGCCGCTTTACTCTTGGAGCAAATGAAAACTAGTGCTGCCAGAGAGAACAGCGTAGCAGCCCGTGGAAGCCCACTATGCCTGGGTCACTTCTTCATACACTCAGATTTAACTTAAGTAGCTCACATCTGAGTTTGATTTGTAGTTCTGCTACTTACCACCTCTATGACCTTAGGTAATTTTTCTGTACCTTACAGTTATAAAAAGGCATCCTAACCCCTCATTCCTATATTCAGTTCATATTGAGTGCCTGCTAGTGTGATCAGGTGTAATCGTGTAAAGCAGGGACTTTACCTGGTTGTAGTCAAGATTACATCAGGAAAGTCTGTGTTACGTGGTTTGAATTGTGTTCTCTTGCCCCCCCCCCCAAGTTCATATGTTGAAGTCCTAATCTCCAATACCACAAAAAAGTGACCTCATTTGGAAATAGGGTCATTGCAGATGTAATTAGTTAAGATGAGGTCAGACTGCAATAGGGTGGTCTCTAATACAATATGACTGGTGTCCTAATAAAAAGGGGAAGTTTGAACAGAGAGACACACAAGGAAAACTCAATATGAATGATAGAATGGGAGAGATCCACAAGCCAAGGAACACCAAAGACTGCCACCAGACTCAAGGTGAGAGGCTTAAAACAGATTCTTTCATAGCCCTCAGAAGAAATGAACTCTGCTGACACCTTAATCTTGGACTTCCAGCCTCCAGAACTGTGAGAAAGTAAATAATATTGTTTAAGCCACCCGGTTTCTGGTGCTTGGTTACTGAAGCCCCAGCAAACCAATATGGTATAAAAGCTCTTAACACAATGACTAGCACATAACTATCTGATATACAATAGCTGCTCTTGTTATTGTTGAGATTCTCATTATTCATTAAACAGATATTCAGTGAACAAGTACCATGTGCTGGGCGCCATTCTAGACCTTGAAGATAGAGATAAACAAATACTGGTCCATGCCTGTTGGATTTAGAGTTTTGAATATGGGCCAAATGTAGTACATTATGAAGGAAATATGGACGTGCGCTTGGGAAGGCTTCCTGGAGGAGGAAATATTTCCACCGAGTTTTGAACAAAGGGTAGACACTGTCTCCAAGCAGACAATGACATGGTAGGGCAGAGTTAGAGGAAACAGCAAGCACAAAGGTGCAGCAGTAAGAGAGCTGTGAGCACATTAAAGAAAATCTGATGATCTCCATGCCAAAGGCATGGGACCAGGGTGGGAATCCAGGGCGGACTCTCCATCCCTAAAGTTGTTTCTTACCTTGCAGACAAAATTCCCTCTCCTTTCCTTGGGGGCTTTCACCAGCTGCTGTCAGAGCTGTCATCCACAGGAGGTATCTCACTCTGGGCTGCAGGCTGTCTATTGGATGTGAATTTGGAGAGACCCGATAGGGAATTTCTGAAAGGAAGATTAAGATAAACTAAGGTACATATAAAAGGAAACATTTGAATATGGGCTTATACTCACTTTTATTTGTTAATGCTTCATTTAATTTGAAAGAGAAAAGCACATTTCTGTTTTAAAATAGTCTTAATTAGTACTTAATACTTTAGTAGGCCCTAGACACTGTCATTTATGGAGGCCTCCACTTCAAAGCACATCAGAAGTAAATATTTCTTCTGTGGTAAAATCTTTTGAAAGAATTTTTATCATTTTGTTTATGAAATTAGTTAGATGTAGTTAACTCTTTATCTCCTATAATGTTTCTGGCATTTACCAGGTATATCTGAGAACTCTTGGGGAGGAAATTAAATATACAAATTGTTTTCAATGGAATTTTTAAGAAAGCTGAGTATAGCAATTAATGAAACAGATATTTAAGCAACATTAATTTTGATTTTCCACTTTTTTTTGTAGGCTCTGAGTACTGGGTTTTGTAGGCCTAATAAGATAATTTGCCACAATTTGACATAAAATCTAAAACCTAGAGCAATGGTACTTAAGATTAGATTTATTTTGGCAGTTTAAGCCTAAATCATCAGTTCCTTAAGCTCTCAACAGCCCTGCAGGTCCTCGGCAGGGAAGATTTTGTTTCTTGAGCAATGCACTGAGGCTGTTTTTCTCGGTAAGTAGGCAATCTTAAGGCCAGAACTTCAGCAGGAGTAGCCTGCTGGCTTGCTTGGCAGACTTGCGTCTGTGCTGGTGATCAAAGTGGAGACTAGAACTCAGCACTTTGTTTCTCAACATCATTTACTGGCTCACAAACCTCAGAGCAAGTCAGATGATGACCCTGTTTGTGGAAATTATTTCAACAGTCACAAATATTTATTGAGTATCTGCTCTGGACAAGGCACCAAGTATGCAAAGGCACAGTATTTGCCTCAAAGAGTTCACCATCAAGTGGGGAAAACAGACCCCTTCCACTCCCCACCCCTGCTTACTGTGGGTGACCAGCAAGACGGAGCCCTGTAACATTACATCCACTCCGCCCAAAGGCGCTGAGGCTGGAGCAGATCATGTAAGTGCTGTGACTATCAGAGCAATTTCTGTATTTTACATCCTGTTAAGAAAAAGTACCATGTGAAAAATTCCCAAGCCTACTCTAATCTGGTGAAATTGCTTGCACAGACTCAAGCTATATGATTAAACTAAAACATCTCTTATTCCTAAATCGGGATTAAAACATTAATTTTGGAGCAAGCTTCTGCTTATCTTGCAGCAGCAAAGCATCAGTGAGCACCAGGGAGTCGGCCGTCAGATTGTGAGAGGGCATCCTAAGCGCTGAGAGCACAAGGAGACGTCGGAACAGAAGAGAAGACATTTGAATGGTGTGCTGGGCCAAAAAGTTTATACACAAACATACACACACGTATTTGAAAAATAAAAATAGAAACTTTATGGGGGAGCAGTAAGGAGGAGTAACGGGAGAAAGAAGTCATGCAGGAAATACTGGTTCTGCTGCCTGGGTCTGGGCTGCGATCTCAGGCGCAGATAAAGGGGCCATTCAATCCCTGGCCTTCTGAAACTTTAGGCTCAGGGTGGTTCAAGGACAAAGGCACCAGTTAGGAAGATGTGATTGTTGCCAGTCATCTGACAGGCAGTGGGTAAGAAGGTCAGTGGTCTCAGGAAAAACAGCTGCATTGTTCCTGAAAATTAGTTTTCTTCCTAACAATCTACATGGACTTAACAAAGTGTAGGGTGGTGATCACCGATTTGTTATTCAACAAACACCGTTTTTATTAAGCACCTACTGAGTGCCTGGCTGTATTGTGAGTACACGGGAAACAACGGTGAGCAAACAGCCATTGTGTCTGCCCTCATGATAATTAGAGTCTGTGGGCAAAAACAGCCAAGTGGAACAAAATACAATGTGTGCACCAGAGGAGAGCCTGTGTGCCAGAGTCGCCGGGGAAGGCACCACCATGCCGATGCCCGGGCCCCCGCCAGCAGGGCTCAGTGCCCCTAGCGCCCTCTGCAAGTGCTGCCGTGGAGCCTGGAGGGCAGCGCCCCAAGACGGGGAGGACAGAGCCCTCTCCTCTCTCCTCCCACCTCCATTCTGCTCTCCCGCGATGCCTCGCCTTCCTGTCTCGCCTTCAGCCTTCTGCCCTCTATCGCTCTCTAGAAGCTGCACTTGTGAATTCACCTGTGATTTCTGGTTGTAAAATGCAACAGGCAGTTGTCAGCCCTTGATCATAGCAGTTACATTATTTTTGTGCACTTTTCCATCTCCTTCAAAAGACTAGGAAAACTCTGTGAAGACAGAGAATGGGTCTTACTCTTCAATATGTGCTTAATGAATAAAAGGAAAATTTAATCAAAACCAGTATAAAATAGGACTTTGAATCTGGGCCTCCTCCCCTTTTGACATATTTTAAAATACCCTTATATAGACTTTAGATTCAACAGATTTGTGGCAAAATAAAATGGGCATTTTCTTCTACATCTATAAGAGCGGCGTCTGTCTGGTTGTAAATAAGCATCTCAGTTTAAACTCCGCCAAAATGAAAATTGGGGGGTGGAGGGGAGCAAATTCCACATGAAGAATTTGAAATTGCTCAGGAAGCGGTCAATTGATTCATCACCTTTTGGGGTGTTTTTCAGAACTGACTTATCCTGACGGACTGGCCCAGTGGGAAGCAGTTCTGTCCAATGATACATCCTGTTTATCAACAGGATGACTGAATGATTGCAAGGTCTTACAAAGGACTACTAGAGAGCTTTACCAAAAAATGAGGCAAATCCATATGGACTGATGTGGAAAGATCTCCAGTATGTATTTTTGAGAAGTAAAAGCAGGGTGACGATCAGAATACAGATGATGATTCCAAACGTATGCTTGTATAGGTATTAAATTTTGTTCTGGATGAACACACAAAGAACTGCTAACAGCCTAAGTATAGAGGAAGGGATAATTTTGATTTTATGTCTTACCGAACTATTGGAATGTTTTTATCATGTGCCAGTATTATTTATATAATAAAAAGTTAACTAGCCTCAAAAGTCATAACTCAGAAAAGCAACACTGCAGGTCTTCTAAGGTCAAGAGAGAAGACCGACTGCTAAAGTTTCCCAGGTAAAAATCACTCTTGCGGGCAGCACCCTGGCACCTATATCTCAGGGTGGCTTTGTTACATTCTTCTTGGACCCGCTGGCTCTCATGAAGGAACAAAAATGTTGCTCCCTTATAATAAATCTTCCTGAAAGCAAGCAAGCTGCCTAAGAAATAAGGAGAAGGGCAAGACAAGAAAAAAAAAACAAAAAACACAACACAGCAAAAAGCTCTGAATAAATTAAAGTTAGAACATCAAGTCTGGCAGGTGCCTGGGAGCTGCTATGAATGAGTGATCCATGAAGTCATTTGAGATAATGCTCCAGCCGGAATTTATTTTAATTGCTTTAGTCTTATAGTTATGAAATAATTATAGGTCATAAGGAATTACTTAAGTTGTACTGTATTTTATCCATTTTGAGAAGAAAATAGCATGCTACGATGGTAAGTGCAAATGTGGCGACTCGAAGTTCTTCCAATGTATTCCTTGCAAACCTCAAGGGTCTGTATAACAGTATTCAAGTGCCTTTATTGCTTGTTGAAATGCTATCTCGGCATATGAGTAAGCTCCTTGAGATCCTAGTCCATTATTTTCATTTCTTTAACTTGCTTGGCACATACATACATTCAGTAACTGTGTGTATGTGTTTAGATGTCTTTTACTTTCCTTCATGCAACTAATTTCACAATATTTACTGAGCATCTACTAAGTGCCAGGCACGGCAGTGGCCCGGTGTGCACGTACGCACACACATTAGCCGTGCTCTCCTGGCACCTGAGTAAGAGGGGCCCCGCGGCGTTTGTTTCTCACACATACCACAGAGTCGAGGCTGGGCAGTGGAGTCCCGTTCCTTCCAGTATATCCTGTAGTGCAAGATGCAGCCCATTTGTTCCTGGGCTGGAATTTCGTCCCATGAAATGAAAATGCTCCCCTTTTCCTCTGTGATGGCATTAATGTGGGGGCCACTCAGTGGTGCTGTAAAGTAGAACACAGGGAGCTTTGTCACCCTCCAAATCCAAATCATGACACTAAAGCAAAATTTGGCAAAAGGTCCCAAGACTCACCTTTGTGCCCAGAGTTAGCGCGGATGGAGCTGCATCCCCCCTGGCGCCCTGACAGCGCGTGCACGCGGATTTCATAACACATGTGAGGTTTTATGTTCTCTGCAAGGAAAGGGGAGTTCTGATCACAGGGGTGGTGTTGCGTGGCGTCACTAAAGGAGCCCCTTCAATGTCTGATACAGACGCTTTCAAGGCATTTCTTGCCTCTTCTTAGTGTGGAGATAGCTCAAGTGCAACCTAACTGAGGTAAAGGAATGACTAAGTTACAAAAGCTCAGCCTCTCATTTGCCATGATACCGGCCCCTGGAAGCCACGCTCCCAACGCCCAAGCTCACCTCACAGTGAACACATAAGCAAACCTGAGCTGCTTCTCAGGGTCATCGCGATTAAGGAGACAAAAGCTAGCCCAGTCCCAACCAGGATTTAAATATAACCACACAGACGGCTTTTGAAACAAAACTTTCCTTCAGAAAAAAAACTTTGACCTCTACAAATAACTCATTTGCTGTTTACCAAAAAGGGAGGCTGGGTTTTTTCAGACAGAGAACCTGGAAGGCTCTTCTAACCCCGCAGATGCTTATCAGGGTGTGCGGGGAGCTCGGATGACGCCTTTGGTGAGGCTGACGGGGGGCTCAGTGTGACCCGCCCTATTGCTCCCTCTCCTCTATCGCCCCGCACCACCTTCCAGTCAGATTCAGTTGCTTCACAGCCTAGAAGATTCGGAAGTGCCACACTGCAGTGTTCTACCAGCCACAACATTTACTGGCAAGTCGCCTAAGCTCCTTATTTCCATTATTTCTACTTGTTCTAAAAAAAAGGCCCCCTCAAAAAAAAAAGAAAGAATGAAAAGCCCCTCTCATAGATACTGCCCATGACATGTCTTTAAACTCTCAATGAGCTCTAGCCAGTTTGGCTCCATGGTTAGAGCCTCAGCCCTCAGACTAAGAGTCTCAGGTTCGATTCTGGTCAAGGGCACCTACCTCGGTTGCAGGCTCAATCCTGGCCCCCACTAGGGTGCATGCGGGAGGCAACCAATTGATGTCTCTCTCTCTCACATTGAAGTTTCTCTCTCCCTCCCCCTCCACTTTTTCTGAAAAGCAATGGAAAAAATATCCTCAGGTGAGGATTAAAAAAAAATAATTCTCAATGAAAATTTAAAGGAAAAAAGGGAGATAATCCCTACTAGGTAACTACAGTATCATGCAGCCAAAATAAGGACTCTCTCCCATATTGTTTAAAGCCCTGCTATAGGTAGATCTGGTCCCTACCACTCACAATTGATTAGGATTTAATATTTCCTCTTTGGGGAAGAAGAATTTTACCTCACAGAATAATTTACTAAATAATATGTTTTCTATGAAAACCCATTGTCCCTTAAATATCCCAGCAAGTGAGCAGCATATAAAGCTCAAACACACAAGCAGTATTGTCAGAGTGACCACGAAGAGTAAAGACTAAGGCCACGGGTGAGTTTCCATTTGTATCCGTGAGCTAAGTGAAGTGGGGAAAAGGAAGCAGTCAGCTTAACCGGGTAACGCAAAGATTCTTCGTGGGTGGCATCCAGACCCCGGAGTCCCAAGAGCAACATGGAGTATGGAATCACGCTTCTTTTCCAAGGGGCTAGAGCTTGGCTGCTCTGCTGCTAGTGGAGGGAGGTGCCAGCCAGCCTCTGTGCCCTGCAGGGCATGGGAGTTCCAGATGAGCTCATTCGGCAGAGGCTTTTGTTGCATTTTGCCACCTAATGTGATTTCAGGGAAGAAGGCTTGGGAACAGCTACATCAGAAGCTGTGGCTTCTTCTTGTGAACAGCCTACCCTTAGTGGAGAAGGGAGGAAAATGTGGCTCCTTAACTCAGGTGACATTTCCTTTCCCTAAAGGGCGGAGCAAGCTTGTTCCTCTGTTCTGACCGTGAGAACTCCTATTTGACTGGCTAAATCTACAAACACCCCTTAATCATCTCTGCTCCCCACCTCAAAAATGCCTTGGCCCTGCTGCGCAGTGCTGCGGCCCACCCTGTTAAGATTTTCATTTCTTTCTTCATTCTGGCCCCAACTATGGGCTCATTTCCTTGTGCTCCCATGTATACACATTTACTTGGCACTCTTGGGCAAAGGCTCTGTCTCCATGTTTATAAATAATCTCTTAGGTGAATTTTCTGTAGGATTTTCACCTATTAAGTATGGGAGGAGGCAAATACTAAATGAACAGTAACAAGGAGTAATCCTTAGAGGAAGTACGAGGGGACATGCAAAAGGAGGGCCCCAAATAGGCAAGGAATCAGGGAAGGTTTTCCAGACATGGCGACGTCTGCATACGGTAAAAGGAATGGCTCTGTGTGGCCTGAACCATTTTTATCCAGGACTGATTATCTCCAGCCCAGGTCTCACCAACTTATCCTGGAGCTAGATTGTATTCTGGGTCACTCCAAACACACCCTTCTGCCTCAGCCAGAAGCTGAGGATGTGAAGGCAATGAGTCATCTTACTGACTGGACAGGGCCACTTTGATTTCATGATAACTGAATTAATTTTTTAAGAGTTTATTTTCAGAATGTACAAGCAACACAAACTAATAGTTAACCAAGTGTTTTCAATTTCAAGTACCAGAACAACTTTAATAAAGTTATTTTACCAACTATTATATTGATTTCATTCAAATAAATATTTCTAAAATGCTTAAAAACATTTGTTTCCTAAATACGGAAAACATTCTCTCTTTTAATCTGTTTTATGGCATTTGTGTAGATTTATAGAAGGAAGAACTGTAGGGACTATATGTCAAAGCCAGCAACAGCCATCAAGTGACCCCACCCCCCATCTAGAATTCTCTTCCATGTGCTAAGTGGTTTCCACGTTAAAAGATCCAAAACCCCAGGGACTTACTCACCTTCCTCCTGGCTCACTGGGCAGCATTCTCTTTAAGTGTAGTGATTAAAAGTAAACACAACCCACTAAAAATCTGAGCAGCTAGACTATAAAAAAAGGCACACAGTTAAGGACCGGCTCATGTACTACCATGTGGTGTGCTCTGCTTATTTCATGTGTGTAAATTTTGTTTCCTTAAGAAGGGCGTATGTATCGTCCTGGACAGGTGCAATGACTGTCATGGTATAATGAAAGTATTATGGGATTTAGAACTTGAAAACCAATTAAAATCTTAGCTCTGTTACATACAATGATAATGACGATAGCTAAATTATCAGGCACTTAAAATGTGTTAGGCACTGTTCAAAACATTTTCTCTATATTAATTCAGTTAGCCCTCACAATAACCTAATGAGGTGGATAATATTATTATCCCCATTTTGCAGATAAGGAAACTGAGGCACAGAGAAGTTAACTAATTTTCCCTAGATTATGCAACCTAGAAAATGACAGAGCCTGGACTCAAATTTAGATAGTTTGGCTGCAGAACCAGCACTTAAGTGAACTTACACTTAAAAATGACATTGCCTAAATTCTGTCCAATCATCTCAATATGCTTTCAGATGCTTTCTATCACTTGATTGTAACCACTGACAGATTCGGAATTTGAGGACTAGAGGCACCAATTATCATACAGATAATTCTGAATTTATTATCACACAAATAATCAGCAGCAGAACTGGGAATGAAAGAGGTCCTGGTATCCTCACTTATGTAATAGGCATGATAACTTGACAACTCTTGCTGCACATGATTTTCCTGAGACTTAAATGAACTCCCAAATGTAAGGAGCCCATCACACTACTTAGCTCTCTGCCATGCTCGTTTGGCTTAATTATTCGCTTATTTTATATGGCACTGAGTGAGGCGCGTGAATTTTCCATAAATACTAGCTTTTAGTCAGCCTGTTGGTTGGTCTTCTATAGCTGCGGTGGTGTATTCTGAGGTGCTCTCCTGAAGGACCCGAGGTCATCACTGTCCCATCTTCTCATGTAGCCACTCATCACTGAGGGCAGGGTTTTGGGTTCCTGTCTGCAATTTCCTCAAACAAATGTTAATTTAGTAACCACCCCCCAGAAGAAAGATGAACAATTAAGTACCTGAAATCACAGCGGACACGTTGTAGGGGGGAGCCCGGAGCCAGTTCAGCGGGGGCAGCGCGCTGCGCGCCGGCCGGAGCTCCCTCCACTCCACCACGTACTCTTGGACAGCTGGGGCAGGCTCCCCGGGGGGCTCCCACACCACCGTAACGTCCACGCCCTCGGAGCTTGCAGAGACCTGGCGGGGAGCCAGCAACCCTTTATGGAAAATGGGGAGGGGCAAAAACAAAAATCACTATAGATAAAGATATGAAACACAACAATTCATCCTAGCAAAGTTTTAGGAAGAACCGATTTCTTTTTAAGGTCCTCAGGTTCCCAGGTTTAAGTTCATCCTGCTTCTCAGTTCTTGGAGAACCGGCATCAACAGCTTGGACAAGGGCCCTGTACAGTGTTATTTGTAGAAGTATTTGCCCTTCATCTTCCATTTCACTTTCCATTTCTGTGTCCCCAACAGTACCTGCTCTAGTGAATGCAATATGCATCCTTCTAATCCACCTTGTGTGTTTATTTAGACATATATGTAGCCTCGTATATTAGTGCCACTTCGTGCTTGTGAGTTACTTCATGAATTGTACTGAGAGTAAATCTAATGCTGCTTTTTTTTTTCACTCAACATTATGTTTCTGGGATATATCCCATCCTGTTCCTTTATGTAACTTTAGCTCATTCCTTTAGACTGCTTCCTCAACCCCTTTTTTGCCCAGTTTCCAAGTGACAAGCAGGAGGTTCCCTCCAACTCTTTAGTGATGTAGAAAAACCAAACAAACAGGTGCTGTAATAAGTCATAAAGTCCTAACCGGGCAGGCCATGGTGGGTAGTCACGCCCCAGGCCTGTAACTTCTTAAGTGAAAGTTTTTTAAGCCAGCCCTGTCCATTGTACTTGAGCATCTAGATTAACACACCTTTGAGATGCCAGAAGTAATACCCTTCAGAGGAATAACCACCCTTAAGAAAGCACATAATCTTCTAATCCAACCCCTGCCTTGCCTTCTCCCACCTTCATGAACTCTTCCTTATATCCCCTCTTTAATTTCAAATGCATGAAAGAAAATGAAAAACCGTTATTCTTCAGAGCATTCAGATCTTTATTTCCCAGCATATGTCATCAGTTTGGCTCAAATAAACTCTTATAAAAATTCTCTACAGGTTTGGACCTTCTTACATCCACAAGGATGCGATGGATATTCTGTCACGCGTCCTCACGTGTGCCTGTGTAAGTGTCTCTGGAGGCATATGCACGGAGTTGCTTGATAATAAAGTAAATTCACATATTTCACTAAGTATGACCAGACCAATCTCTAAAATAGCCAATCAGTTGACAGTCCAAAAAGAAAAGCTTGAGAAATCTATTCTCCCTAAGCCCCCCAACACTTGGTATTTTCTGGCTTCCTAATTTTTGCCAATCTGGTATGTGTAAAGTGGTATTTAACTGTGGTTTTATTTTCGTTTTCCAATTGCTTACGAGACTGAGCTTCTTTTCACATATTACTAATCATCTGACTTTTTCCCCTCATGTGAACTGCCTGTTCATGTACTTTGCTCATTTTTTCTGAGTTTCCTGTCTTCTCTCTGATTTGCAGAAATAGCTTTTATATTCTAGATCTTAATCATTTGTCAGTTTTCAACTCTAAAAATATCTTACTCCAGTCTTTCGACTCTCTCATAACTTTATGAGTGTTTGTTGCCCATAAACACTTACTTTGATGTAGGTAAATCTATCTATGGATTGTGCATTTTGAGTCTTGTTTATGAAATCCTTCCATCCTGATGTCAAGAAGATGCTCAACCACATTTTCTCCTATTGACTTCTGGTTTTACATTTCACATTCAAGTTTTTTATCCAAATCTAGCTGAAAGTTGTTTTTTTAAGGGAATAAATTTTATTATTTTCCCCACACACTGAGCCCATTTTTTCAAATGTAACACCATCCCTACCATACACCAAGTTCTATATATTATTGGGTCTGTGTCTGGTCAGTTTTTTCACCAGAACATACTGTTCACACTACTAGGCTTTGTGATGTCCGACTACTTGGTTGGTCAACTCTCCTCCATATTTTGCCCTTCTTTTTTCAAAACGGTCTTGGTTATTCATAAAACTTTATTCTTCCACATAGCTTTTAGAACCAATTTATCAGTCTCTGAAAATTCCCGCTGGTATTTTTTTTTTTACTGGAATTAAGTTAAATATATAGTTTAATTCAGGAAAAACTGATGCTGTTACAAGGTTAAATTGGTCCATTCATAAATATGCTGTTTTATTAAAATTATTCAGCTCTCCTTTTATATCTTTTAATGGAGTTTAAAAAATTCCTCCTTAAAGTTTTCATGTACTCTTTGTTAGGTTAATTCCTAGGCACTTTATAATTTTAGTTTGCTATAGAAGTGGCATCTTATTTTCTACTATTAACTTGTGTGTGTTATTCTGATTTCCAACAAACCTGCTAAACTCTCTGATTAGTTCTAATAATTTGTTCATTTGCCCTTGTTGAATTTCCATATAATAATCTTATTAGCTGCATACTTAAAATATCTCTTCCTTCCAATCTTTAAATTAAATCCCTTATTTCCTTTTTTTTGTTTTGATCTTGTTGTTAATTTTAAAGAGAATGTGCCTATATATCTTTATTAAGATGATATATGCTGCACGTTTTTGGGAGAAAGTCTTAAAAAACTAAAAAGTTTTATTTTATTCATAGTTTCTATGTAGGTTTTTTAAAATAATATATTACTCACTAAAACCTTTTTCTAACTAAATCTTTTCTGCATCTGTTAAGAACATATCCCTTTTTCTCTCTCTCAGTATTAATGTGATGAATCACATTGATGCATTTTTCTGATATTGCTCTGTCCTTAGATTCATAGGATCGACCCTGCTTGATCAGTCTGCACTGTATTTTGCAGAGACTTTTAAAAGTATAGACTATTTTTTAGAGAAGTTTTAAATTTACAGCAAAATGAGCAGCAGGTACAGAGCTTGTCCACATGCCCCTCAAACACACTTAGCCTCCCCTGCCCCAGACATCCTGCACCGGAGTGATCTACATTCTGTAAGATTCTTGATAAACATTTTCAAGAATTTTTTCCCTTTCATTTACTTTTTTCTCTCACTGGGACTCCTTTTAGGTGGTCATCATCCCTTCTCTTTCAATTCTCTCAGTGTTTTAAGTTTTCTCTCTCTTTTTTTCAAGTTCTTTCCCATTTTTGATGTCTTTTGGAAGAGTTTCTTACCCTATCTTCCACTCACTCCTTCAGTCTTCTGATGAGTCCTTTCTGCCATCCAACCTATTGGCCAAGTTCTTCATTTCAACAATTACACTTCTCATTCTGAACCTCTTTATTTGGGGCTTCTTCACAGCCACCTATTTCTGATTCATGTTTCTCTCATCCTCTCTTATCTCCCTTCCTGAGGATGCTTATTACACTTATTCTAAACTCTGGGTCTTTCTGCTGCATTCATTATATTTCCTACGGCACAACTGTTCCATTTGTTGCCTCCCCCCTCCCCCTGAACTTGTGCCCTTTAGATTTCTCTTAATTTTCTCCTTGGGATCATGTTTTATTTTCTTGGATTGATCAGTAGCCTTGACCTTCGCTTTTCTGTGGGAGGAGGCGTGAAAGCTTAGCTGTAGCTCCTCCAGGTGAGTTTAGGTGAGGGGGCGAGGTTTTTAGGGTGGAAAGCTCCAGGTCAGAGAGCCTATAGTGATGCAACCTAAGCTCTACCTGTCCTCAGATTTCCCATAGGTGTCCCTGGCACCTCTCAGAGCTTACCCGTACTTTTATGCCTGGCACTAATCTTGATGGGCAAGTGGGGCTCTTAGTTTCTGTTGTAATTTCCAGGCCCACAGGGTGAATGGCACAAGAAATCTCAAGGGCCAGCCAGCTCATAGGCACTCTTTGTTCTCAGCTCCTCTCCCCGTTAGGTTCCAGGGCTTTTTTGAGGATACTCTGCCCTGCTCTCAGGACTTCCCTGCCCCACAGTAGGAATGCCTAGGCAATGATCATCTCAGAACAACAGAGGCAAGAAAAAGGAGTGCAGCCAGAAGCGCCCCCCCTTCATCACTCTTTCATTTGCACAGGGGCCCTGCCATCCCGTGGCATCCTCAGGGCTGGACGTGGTAGTGAGAGCCTGTGACCTGCATAATTCCAGGAACTGGAATTCCCCAGTTGTGGTTCCTTTATCTTTATTTGTCTTAGTATCTGACTTCCTATGCCAGGACTTTTTATTTTAATGAAATGCACTCATTCAGTAAATATTTTTTGTGCCTATGGTTTGCAAGACCCTTTGACAGGTGATGGGCTAATGTAGCCAAAGAGCCTTTCTAACCACTGTTTTCTCTGGAATTAGCAAAGCAAACCAACTTGGCATTGCTCTGCCTCTGAGTCACCACACTTGCCAGGAACCAGCCTGGATTTCCTCCCATGAAGTCTTCTGCCAGGGCTTGTTCTTTCCTTCAGATCTCCGCTCACAACTCACCTCCTCTCTGTGACATTTTAAAACTATTCCTTTAGCCTCATTCAACTTCCCATCTCCATTTTCACTGAGAGCTTCTAAATAGAGTTACAAAGTTCGTAAGATATTTGGAAAAGTGCCCACTTAAGAGACAGGTGGCCTGGTTTTTCTGTCCAGCTCTGATACTAACTGGATGTATGATCTTGGTTAGGTTACTTTACCTCCTGGGGCCTAAGTCTCTGACATCTGTGTGGACTTGTTTATGACTCTACTGGCTTCTGACTCTTGCCATAATTTTGAAAATTCTTGAACACAGGGATTAGTCTGAACTATGAAATATGTTTTATTTGTTGGCTGTGGGTTTGGCATACATTCAATTTTCATGATAAATCAACAAAATTGTTCTTGTGCTTCTTGGTATGGACTGCTGTGGCAGGCCCCTTTGATAATAAAGTTGTTCCTACTTTTCTCAAAGTGAACATATTCTGTCTTTGGGGCATTATTTTTCCCTTCCTAGAAGGAAAGCTATATATGTGAATAACGTGAACATATATTGAAAGAGAGGGAGACACAAAATTATGGCACACTATTTCTACAGATCATTCAGAATATGTGTGAGACAAGAGCCATCAAGGATGGGATTGTGTGATTTGCCAATCTGTCCCCTAAGTGACCCTGAGATGCACAACAACTTGTATTGGATAGGTCAGGTGTGGTCTTAGGAGAGGGCAAAGGCTCTTGAGAATCCAAGACTTCCAGGACCGCCTGGCCAGCGTGGTTCAGTGGTTGAGCGTTGACCCATGAACCAGGAGATCACGCTTGATTCCTGGTCAGGTCAGGGCACATGCCTGGGTTGAGGCTCGATCCCCAGTATGGGGGCAGGTGTGCAGGAAGCAGCCGATCAATGACTCCCTCATCATTGATGTTTCTTCTCTCTCTTTCCCTCTCTCTCTCCCTCTCTCTCTCTCCCCCCCCTTTCTCTCTCTGAAATCAATAAAAAAAATATTAAAAAACACACAAAAGACTTCCAGCACCAGGACCCTCTTAGGAACAGCTCAGTTGCAGAGAACTGTCTCAGGGTTGTGCCTTACCTTCTCTACATGCGCATCCTTACTGGGCTTCATTTTTATTTAACACCTGTCCATTCTGAGAGGAAGAAGTGCTCCTTTAACCCTTTTTGTCACTGGATCCCATCTTCTTCCAGCTCCCCAGGGACTTCCTCCCATCAATTATCCCTTTTCTTCCTTTTATTCTCAGCTCTTCCCTAACCCTGGTTTTTTTTCCCAACTTCCATGTTCACTCAGATCCCACTTTAAAACAAGCCCTCATGCGCGCACACCTGCACTCCCTCACCTGGCTAATACCAACTTGTCTCTCCCTGCCCTGCTCCCATGTTGCCTCCATCCCAAGCCTACACTTTGGCTTTTCTCTGTTCCTAGAGCTGCCAGTGCATACCTTTAATTTCACACATATTATACTGTACTACAGTTTCCTTATTTATATGTCTGCCCTCTTACCTGATAAAGCTGGAGGCCCTCAACAGTGTTTGTTAACCTATTGCTGGATTCCAGTTGACTTAGTATATGCTCAATAAAGGACTACTGAAGGAATAAAGTAGAGACCAACTCTAAAATAACGAATGTGTCATTTTGAGAAGTTGTTACTGAATCTAAATAAAGAACCTGGAATGGGCCCAGAAAATTCATGAGGCTTATATCCACAAAACTCATCTGCAGTGAGGTTTGAAGAAGTGAGGTATTCTGACATATTTCATTTCAACAACAACAGGCTCCTAAACAGTGGTATGAGTTCAATTTCCCTCACAGAATTCACTTTTTAAAATTACATAAGTAGTACTTACCCATTGAAGAAAAAACTTTAAAGTATAAAAAGCAAAAGGGAAGGAAAATCACCTATAATCCCATGACACAGTGATGACCTCTATTAAGATTTCCATTTATATTCTACTAAACTGTTTTTAACATGCAAAAAAAAGTATATTCATGAAATACGTATTTTAAATGACATCCCATATACACTATTAAAAGCCTGCTTTTGTACTTATTATGTGCATCTTTCCATGGCGATAAAAACATAGCTACATCACTTTAATGCTAGTGTGGCATTTATGCCAGTGAGAATCAGGCTATCTTAAATCAGTTCACCTTCTATTTATTTTACATTTAGGTTGTTTGTGCTGTTTCACTGTTTTTTTCCAACAAACATCTTTTTGCCTGTATTTTTAAGCACTTATTATTTGCTGAGGATACATTCCTAGTGCTACAATTTCTTGATTAAAAGATATGTTTATATTTAAAGTTTGTTACGTATGGCCCAACTGTTCTTGAGAAAGTTGTACCAGTTTACACACCCACTAGCAGGGCGCGAGAAAGCTTCTCCCTGCGCCTCCGCCAATGGGCTATACTGTCTGCTCACCCTTTCTCAGCCTCATTTGGTTTCTCTTGCTTTTTCAAAATTTGCATCTCATTGATTGCTGATTAGGCTGCACATATTTTCATTGTTCTTTTTATATTTATTATTCGAATTGCCTGTTCATATCCCCGATCTTATAGCTATTTTAAAAAGTTAGATACATAATCCTCTTTTGCCAAACATGTGACGCATACTTTTCTTAAACTGCTATTTATACATCTGAAACGAACACAAAATAATACTGAATGTACACTTTAATTGAAAAAAAAATTTTAAACAAAAATAGAAAAAAAATCTGGCAAAATGTTAACATTTGTTAGATCTGAAAATAGGAACATGGTTTTATTATGTTACTCTGGAAAAAAATTGCTATTTCTGTTTTCAAAGTTTTATTTTTGGTGTTTTGTTTTACTATGCAGAATATTCAAGTTTTTCCCCACAGTTAATCCATCTTTTCCTTCAGGTTTCTACCTTCAGTACCTATCCCATGTGAGGCAAGATTACCAGCTGCCTACCAAATCCCCCCTCTTCATCTTCTTTAGCAAGGCAACATTGCTGCCTGAAGTATATTTCTGAGCCTCCTTTGCAATTGGGTGTGGCCAGGTGACCAACCTGAGTCAATGACTGAAAGTGTGTTGTGTGTGACCTGAGGCAAAGCTCCTCAAGAGTAGGACGTGAGCCTTCCTCTCTCCTTCTTTTCTGCTGCCTGAATGGAAGTAGCTAGAACTCGGGCAGCCTTCTCAGACAATTTCCATCTTGAGGAAGAAAGCCAACTTGGCAGAAGGAATAGAAAGAAGGAGCACGGAGTCCTGATGATGTCATTAAGCTGTTACCCCAGCCCTGTAGAAGGCTGTCTGCTTCTGACTTCTTTAATGTGTGAGAATAAATAAATCACTGTAGTCAAGCTGCTGGTAAGAGCAACCCTTACTCCTAAGAGTAATTCCTAACTCATATACCAACCCAAGGTTATATCAATATTTTCTTGTATTTTCTTCTAGTTATTTTTATTACTCTATTATGTCTATGTTTATAAGTATGTGACTGGAAAGATACATAACCAAGATTTAACGGGATATATATAAAATAATCATGTTTTAGTAGAAGCTTCTTCAAAATGGTGATTGCTAGACTCATATGTAGGTAAAATTATTACACTGAATTTTAAGAAAGGATCTCATTAGAGCTTTATTCTATTAGGTATTTTTGGAAAAAGTTAAGCCTTTTTATAACACAAATCTTGAGAAATAGCATTAGCATCTTTTTGTGTGTGTGTGTGTTTGTGTGTGACTAATTACAGGCTTTTATACAGAGAAATTAGTTTTCAGAGAATGCAACTATAACATGTGTATAGCTAGTTGGGAGGTTTTCAATGTAGATAACTGGACACATATCTAAATTTGCTGAATAAAGAGCTGTAGTATAGAAAAATTTTTGCTATAGTTTCATTACAGCCAGAATTTCATCTTAATACTATTGGTTTTAAAATATGCTTTGACTATAGGTATAAAATGTTTTCTCCTAGAATGTGACAGCACATGTTACTCTTGCTTCTAGAAAAATTAGCCAGATATTAGTGTTCAATTTAATGTAACTAATGTTTCCTTAACTAACATTTATTAAGCATCTATGTATTAGTCTCTGTATTTAATCTTACAATGACCTGTAAAGATGATGATGTAATCCCTACTTTAGAGATGGGAAATCGAAGCTCAGAGGTGTTAATTTACTTGTCCAAGGCCACTCATAGTCTGAGGGGAAAAGATAGCCTCTAAACGCTGTTGACTCCAAATTTGAAATTCCAAAGCTATTCATGCCAGGCCCTGAGCTGAGCAGAAGATAAGAGATGAATAAGATACAGTTTCCTACAGGCAATAGTAAAGTTGGGCCCAGTCAGCATGCCTCAGTGGTAGAGCACTGAGCTATAAACCAGGAGGTCATGGGTTCGATTCCCGGTCAGCATGTCCAGGTCTCGGCTCAACCCCAGTAGGGGGCGTGCAGGAGGCAGCAGATCAGTGACTCTTTCTTATCATTGATGTTTCTCTCTCTCTCCCTTTCCTTTCCTCTTTGAAATGAATAAGAACATATTAAAAAATTCAAAAGAAAAGCTTGTACTTACTTGCCCCACACAGGTCCGTTATGTTAATATGAGTGGGCAGGGAACTGCCTTTTGAGTTAGCGGCAGACACAGACACAGCCCAGTTCCCAGTTCTGGGAATGACCCAGGTCCAGGAGGTATGTTCTGTGATGTTCTGTAGCGTGACTTTCTTCCCTGTTGCTTCCATCAAAGTCACCTGATAGTGAAGGATTCTTCCTCTTGCCTCTGATACACTCAGATTCTGCAACAAAACACATCCACTTACTGTGTAGGCTCAGACAAGATCACTGGACACTCTACGCCTGGACCTCATGGCACCCTGCAGGAGGCGGCTGCATCTGAGCGACCTTTTTATTTACACCTTAGCGTCTCCTCCACTGCACACTATATGCTGCTGTTTGCCTCACCCCCACCATTTAGAGAAAAATATCACTTAGCACTTTTTAAAGCTAATTCTTATGAACACACTGATTTTCTTTTCTTGCTTCAAAATGAAACTTCCTAATAGTAGAAAACTCAATTACATCCAATAGAACAAGGGTTGGATCTAAACTCAGAAGATCTGGATTTGAGCCCTGGCCGGTTTGGCTCACTGGTTAGAGCGTCAGCCTGTGGACTGAAGGGTCCCAGGTTCCATTCCGGCCAAGGGCACGTACCTCGGTGGCAGGCTCCATCCCTGGCACCAGTCAGGACATGTGTGGGAGGCAACGAATTGATGTGTCTCTCTCACATTGATGTTTCTCTCTCTCTCTCCCTTCCACTCTCTGAAAAACAGTGGAAAAAATATCCTTGCGTGAGGATTAAAAATATAAAGAAGATCTGGGTTTGAGTTTTAGCTCTACCAATCACCAACTGTGTCACCCGGGGTAAGACATTTGGCCCCTCTGTATCTCAATTTCTAACACACACACACACACACACACACACCCTTTTTAAATAGAAAATGCAATGCTGCTCATGAAATCAAACAAGATTTTCAAGAGCTAAACTAGTAAAATCCATACTTGGTGAATTGGATTAGCCGTCTGTGCTAGGAAACTGAGACACTGTTTTTAAATGTGTGCCTGACGAGATTTTGGAACTGCAAAAATTCCAATTGAGATCATTTGGGAACAGTCCCAGAAAGTAAGCAGAAAACTAATCATTTGTATTGTAACCCTGTTTGGATAAGGACCATGGGAAACAGAAGCAATGAGAGTGGAGAGCTGCCAAGGTCAGCACTGGCAGTGCCCGCCCATGCCTACTGCATAGAGGGGAAGGCTTAACTCACCAGACGTAAGCATTACAGTTTCCTTGGCAAGGCCATTCCTTCCATGGGGTTCAGGGTTGCTTCAAGCTGCTGAATGACACACCTTGAAATCTGACAAATACCCCTTTCTCTGATTCCCCACTCCCTAAGCAATCTTCTAATAATTTGGTTTCCTGTGTAGTTTATCTGTCAGGAGAGGCTGGGCTAACATGAACATCTGGTTCACTTAAAATTTGTATTTTTCACTTTAAGTGAACAAATTGGGCTTCTGATTATAATCTGGCTCCCAAAATAATTAGCATACTGAGAAAGAATGTTCCTATCTGCTGACTCAAACCTCCTGGTTCATCCAACAGCTGTATTTTTCACTATAAATTAATCACGAACATGCAGCTTTTTATTATATTTTAGTCTCTGGGAGCTTGATTAATGTAGGTCCTGTCCTAGGTGCCTCTCTGGATGTGCAAGGCCTGAGACTAAATCTTAAACCATGGTCAATGCACTAGCTAAATACCAGCTGCTGAGGGCTGCTCTAAGTGCACACCCAGCCTTTCCCTAAAAGACATCTTTGTGTACTGTCATGAACCAAGAAAAGGTACATCATTCCAAATGTCCATCACAGCTGTTCTCATAGGCCTGTTGTATGAATTAAAATAAGCAAGTGCTTTTGAAATTGTGGCGTTCTAAACTTATTAATAAACGTGCCCTTCAATATAAGAGAAAACACACACAACAGGATAAATTAAAGCAAAAGGGGGCTAGGGAAGACCATTCCCTCAGCCATCTCTCATTCTGTCCTTCCCTATCTGTTTCCTCTGGAGGTCCAGAGGTAGGACTATTACCCCACCCCCAACCTATGCACCCCACCTTAAGGCATCCCCCATAGCTAACCAAGTTCACCAAGCTCTCCATTCTTGCCACAGACTCAGAGGCTTCAGTCCCACTCTGACAACTAAGCAAACAGAGCCCTAATTGGAAAAAATACCTTACAAGTCAGCCTTTATTATCTCTGTCTCATTGTCTTCATAGACACCTCAACAACCTCATTCAGTTCTATGGTAGAGTGCTGAAAGAAGGGGGGAAATGTCATCTTGGATCCAATGAACTTGCCTAGTAACTGCTGTGAAAATCTAGCTGATCAGTGATCCAGTAAACAGAGGTGTGAATCTGAAAGATAAGTGACGGTTCCCAGAGGGTAGTAAAAGGCCTGGACCATACTTTTGCATTTTTCCTTCCCTATCCCATATATTAGAGTTGAAAAGATCAGTGAGAAGGTAAGGGTGAGGTTGAGGTAGTTAAACAAATAAATATGTTATCCCATGAGTTATGGTGGTATAAAATGTCAAGCTTAACTTTTGGGATAAAGGTTAACTTCTCTCAGGTAACTGGTCTCCTTAACCAAATTAAAAAATGGGCCTAACTTGTGTAAGAGGGTCCTTAGAACAAAAAATGCAGTGAGCCAAAGGGGAAAAAGTATTTATGCAGCTGGGCTGGTAGCAACTGAAGCAACTGAAAATAGTATACTTAGTTTGGTTTTTAAAAATATAGCAACATAAAGTTTGCAAAAAATGTATGTCATCTATCACTCTTGGATTATTACGCTTGGCCCTGATGGAATGGAATATATCACCACAGAACAACAGAAGAGGAAGGGATTCTACAGATTAATATTTCCTTTTATCAATGGGGAAACGAAGCCCCAGGGAGATAAAGTGACTTGCTTAAGGCCACTCAAGGGATCGATGGAGGAGGTGAGAGTGGAATCCAGGGCTCCTGACTTCCAGACTAGTGACCCCTCTACTCTGATGTCTGTTCCTTATAGTGGCGAGCCTGAGACGAAGAACTGGTAAGTATGGGCCACCACGTTTCATAGCTGGAGTCCCCAGTCACCCTTCTGCTCTGAAGTTGCAAAGCAGCTTCTCTAATTATGAGGTTGTGGTACATTCTGACGTAAAGCATCAACAGTGGACATGAGGATGGCAATTTTGGGAAGGTGGAGATACAGAATTATTTTTTTCCAGAGACAGCAAGACAAGCTGTGAACCCAGAAGAACTGTGACCTGAGGAGCCAGCTGGGTCTTTCCAGATGAACTTATTTTTATTTCACTATTCGTTTATTTGGGTGAGAGCCATACCATAAGTAAGGAGCTTACATCTATTGTTACATTCAGTCCTTATAACTCCCCACTCCGATGAGGGTGCTGAAGCTTGGAACAGTTAAGAAGCTGACTCAAACAGTCCCCACAGAAAAGTATTGTGAGATTGTATTGTGCCCCCTGGTGGATGTGGGAGAGGAAAGGGTGTCTGGCCCGTTTCTGGCAAACCTGTGTCTGGAAGACCTGGTACTTTCTGCACCTTTTTGGGCAGTGCTGAAGCTGGTCTGAAGCCAGTGTTCCTACTGTCACTGTCACCTTCTCCTATTGGTAAGAATAAGCTAACAGAGGAAAAGCTGTTCTATTGCCCCTCTCCTTCAGTTTTCTTCCTGCTCTGTCCAGTAGGAAATGACTTAACTTTATAAACTTAGCCTTTCTGACTTTGGCTATCTGAGAAGCAAAGAGTGAACAGCTCCCTCATAATCCTATTATAAGAGTTCTGTTGCCTGAAAAGGCTTTCAGCATAAAAAATGACTAGATGAGTGTAATCCATGATAGGACAAAACCTAACATGTCTGAATTCAGAGCCCCTGCTTTTTGTTTTGTTTTGTTTTAAAGTACATTAGAAGAAGGGTGTTTCTGTGGATTGATAAATTATTTCTTCTTAGGACTTAAAAAAAAACTAACCTCTGTGAAGACATCTTTTCTTTTTTCTTTTTTGATTTTGGATAGACCCTTTGCTTTCTTGCTCCACCACATAGCGGCTGTGTGACCTTGTCAAGTTATTTTACTTCTCTGAGGCTCAATGTTCTGGTCTATAAAATGAGGATAATCCTTTGTACAGCATAGGCTTATTGGAGGATTCAATGGGCTAAGGGAAATAAACTGTTTCAAAAAGTGCTTGGTGCATGACAGATGTAAAGACACTGGGTGAGTTCCCTTCTCTCATTTACTCTAATATAAAAATCATCATAATTGATACTTTCCCAGTCATAGTCATATGACTCTTCTGTCAATTTATGGAGAGCCAAGCCATCTTGACTTGGCTTATGCCACAGCTCTATAAGGAAGGCTCACCAATGTCATGCAGTTGATTACAAAGAACATATAATTTATGGCTTTAAGTCTGGGTACCTTGATTTCAGAACTCATGACTATCTTCAGCAACCCTAGTCCAAGTGAAAGAGTGCCTCAGAAGACATTCCTCATCTGGAAGTTTTGAAAATCACCGTATCGAAATGACTTATTTATGCATCTATCTTCTCACTAGCCTGCCAGCTTGTCTTTGCATCCTGTGTCATGCACAACGTTTGCCTCCTAACAATGGCTTAGCAAGCACTTTTCACAATTCTCATTAATTTTCACAACAACCTCATGTGGTATATACTAATACTATTATTATCTACTTTATTGGTGAGGAAAATAAGGCACAGAGAGGTTAAGCACCTTGCTCAAGAACACACAGCCATTAAGTGTTAAAGCTGGAACTTGAGCTCAGGTAGCACAGCTTTAGAGGATGAACTCTTAACCACTCTGATGCTAGCACCTAGCAGACATTGCCCAGGTGTTAAGCTACACTGAACTAACTGCTAGTCATACCTCATGGTATTTACCCCACATAATTTCCATCTTGTTTTGCAGCTAGAAAAACAGCGAAATAATGGAAGCTTTCATAAGTGCAAAACTTTAACTTCCCTTCCACCTATGCTTTCTATCTTCTATTAATTCTCTGCTACTCTCTCTTATTCTTGGTATTGACTCCATTCTGCTACCCAACCAAAAATCCCTACATTACTGCTGGTATAATGTGTGTGACTAGTAAGCAAGGGAAAACAAACTATTCCTTCTGAAACAGTCTTCTGAAATGCTGTGCCAGCCTGTGATGGGACACGATTTGGG